CGCCGCCATCACGCCCGGCCCGAAATCCCGCCCCCGCCGGCACCGTCGGCCAATCGGCGGACGCTCCGCAGACGACAGCCAATCGGCGGCGCCGCCGCCGTCCGGCTGCAGCCAATCGCGCGCCGTCTGCCTCAGTCTCACGCCCAACAACAGAGACAAAGAAGCCGAGCCCCGCCCCCGCCGTGATTGGCGGCTGTAGTGGCCAACCGGACGTAGAGCACCTCCCCCAAGCTCTGACTGACAGCGGCGCTCGCCAATGGCGACCCAGCTCCGAGTCCGACGGAGGGCGCGGCCTCTCGGCCCGCCCCGATGCGGGCACTCGGCACAGCGCGGCCAATTGGCGAGCAGACAGCTCTTCAGCCGTCCGATTGGCAAAGCGTCAGACCAATCAGCGTCGCCGCTCTCCGCTGGGCATAGCCGCAGCCAACGGGAGCAGCCGGACAGCGCCCCGCCTACCAGGGACGGACCATAACCCACCGGGGGGAGGAGTCGGGCTGTCCCACTCCCGGGGGAGGGCGGGTCTGTACCACAGCGCTCCCGGGGGTGCCGGGCTGTACCACAGCGCTCCCGGGGGGTGCCGGGCTGTCTCCCACGCCACCAGGCCACACACGGCTCCTTGAACAACAGCCTTTAATGAGCTCCGCCACACAGAACCCGCCTCGGGACCGCCCTCCCTCCCTGCCCGGGTCCCCAGCCCGCCGTGTCCGTGCTGGAGAGCCTCTGGAGCTCCCCATCCCTGTGCCCACGAGGAACTGCAGCTCTCCGTGGCGTGGCCGACGCTCTGTGCCCACAGCAGACGGTTCGAAGCCCCCCTTGTTCTGCCTTCTGGCTCCGTGTGGAACTCCTGGAGCTCCCCACGGGGGAAAGCTGCGGGTTCCTCTTCCAGCCCCACGTGGATAACCCGGGAACTCCACAGGGCCCGGTGATGCGGCCTTTGTACCCCGGGGAGGGTCCGTAACCCCCGGGGAGGGTCCGTAACCCCATGGAGAAGATCCGCAGTCCCCCAGTCTGTAGCTCCCCAGGGAGGGTCTCTAGCCCCCCACAGAGGGTCCATAGACCCTGGTGAGGGTCTGTAGCCACTGTAGATGGTCTGTACCCCCTGGGGAGGGTCCATAGTCCCCCACAGAAGGTCCTTAGCCACCTGGGGAGGGTCTGCAGCCTCCCAGAGTGGTCTGTAGCCCCTCGGGGAGGGGCTGTAGCCCCTGTAGTTGGTCTGTAGCCCCTTGGGGAGGGACCATAGCCCCCAGGGAGGGTCCATAGCCCCTGCTGATGGTCCATAACCCCTGCAGATGGTCTGTTGCAGATGGTCTGTAGCCCTAGCCCCTTGGGGAGGGTCCATAGCCCCCAGGGAGGGTCCATAGCCCCTGCTGATGGTCCATAACCCCTGCAGATGGTCTGTAGCCCCTGTAGATGGTCTGTAGCCCCTGTAGATGGTCTGTAGCCCCTCGGGGAGGGTTCGTAGCCCCCCGGTGAGGGTCTATAACCCCTGTAGATGGTCTGTTGCCCCTCAGGGAGGGTCTGTAGCCCCTGTAGATGGTCCGTAGCCCCCGGTGAGGGTCCATAGCCCCTGCAGATGGTCTGTAGCCCCCGGGGACGGTCCGTAGCCCCCCGGTGAGGGTCCATCCCCCCCCCGAGCGCCGTCACCCCGCGCTCTGCAGCAGCTGCAGGTTGCGCTGGTAGCAGCCCAGGCTGCAGAGCGGCCGGCCGGTGCGGGCGCAGCTGTAGCGCCTGGCGTTGGTGCAGCCGGGCACGGCGCAGGGCCGGGCGGCGGGGAAGGACACGGTGACGCCGTCGGCGGCGCTGCGGTAGTGCACCACCGGGCAGGGCCGGGGGCGGGCGCGGCGCTCGCGCAGGGCCCTCACCTTGGCCTTGTGCGTGCGCGTCAGGCGCTCGATGGTCTGGTTCTTGCTCTCCTCGGCCTTGCGGGCCGCCTGCAGCCGCCGGCGCCGCGCCCGCTCCTCGCGCTTCTCCCGCATCTCCTCCGTCACCTCCTTGGCCTTGGCGCCCATGGGCAGCTGCAGCAGGGGCTGGCTCTGCTGCTTGTGCAGCAGCGCGCGCTGCGGGGGGCACGGCGGGGCTCAGGGAGGGGCTGCGGGGCTTCCTGCAGCTCTTCCACATCTCCTCAGTCATGCCCCAGGAGCTACAATGCTCCCCAGTACCCCCTCAGCCCAGTTCCCCACTGGGTCTGGAGCGTCCTGAGCACCCCCAGCCCCTCCCCAGCCCTGCCCTGCAGCCCTTCCACATCCCTTCAGTTGCTCCCCAAGGGTTCCAGCTCAGCTCTGGGCTTCCTGCAGCTCTTCCACATCTCCTCAGTCATGCCCCAGGAGCTACAATGCTCCCCAGTACCCCCTCAGCCCAGTTCCCCACTGGGTCTGGAGCGTCCTGAGCCCCCCCAGCCCCTCCCCAGCCCTGCCCTGCAGCCCTTCCACATCCCCCCAGTCATGCCCCAGGGGTTCCAGCTCAGCCCTGGGCTTCCTGCAGCTCTTCCAGGCCCCCTTGGAGCATCCTGACATCCCCAGCCTCTCCCCAGCCCTGCCCTGCAGCCCTTCCACATCCCCCCAGTCATGCCCCAGGGGTTCCAGCTCAGCCCTGGGCTTCCTGCAGCCTTTCCAGATCCCCTCAGTCGTGCCCAGGGGTTATGAGATTCCCCAGGCCCCTCTCAGCCCTGTTCCCTTCTGGGTCTGGAGCATCCTGAGCATCCCCAGCCCCCCTAGTCCTGCCCAGCCCTGGCCCTGCAGCCCTTCCAGATCCCCCCAGTCATGCCCAGGGGTTATGAGGTTCCCCAGTCCCCCCTCAGCCCAGTTCCCCACTGGGTCTGGAGCTCCCTGAGCCCCCCCAGTCCCTCCCCAGCCCCCCAGCCCCCTGACCTGCCGGGCTGTCAGGAGGGACTCGTCCACCTCCCTCTTGATGTCGCCGTTGTCATCGAGCTCCCCCCTCTCCAGGGCCGCCAGCCAGCGCCGCTCCTCCTCCTCCTCTTCCTCCTCCTCTTCCTCCTCCTCCTCCTCCCCCTCCTCACGGGGGGGGAAGCAGCTCTCGGGGTCCAGCTCGGGCAGTGGGGAGGGGGCCAGGTTGCTGTTGCCCAGCCCTGCCCTGCAGCCCCTCCAGATCCCCCCCAAGTCATGCCCCAGAGGCTATGAGGCTCCTCAGCCCAGCTCCCCACTAGCTCTGGAGCTCCCTGGGCACATGGGAACAACCCCAGGGCTGGGGGTCACAGCACCCCAAGGGCTCCAGGGCAGCCCCTCCCCACGCAGCCCTCGCTCTGAGCCCCCCATTTCCCTCCCCCTGCCCTTCCCAGAGCCCCTCCCCACGCAGCCCTCGCTCTGAGCCCCCCATTTCCCCCCCTGCCCTGCCCAGAGCGCTGCTCACCCAGCCAGGCCCGGTACTGCTCGATGGGGACGCTGGGCTCCTCCTCGTCCCCTGCCAGCAGCGGGGACGGCGAGTGCGGCCCCTCGGGGACCACCGTGAACGTGGGGACACTGCAGGCGAACAGAGAGGAGTTTGGGGGGACGCACGGAACATGCCCGGCCCTGCCTCTCCCCCCTCCTCCTCCTCCTCCCCCATCTGGGTGCCCAGGATCTGCCCCCAGCTCCCTCCTCACCTCTTGGTGCCCAGGATCTGCCCTCCCAGCTTAATCCGGAGTCTCAGCCGGGGCTGCCGAGGGGGTTCGGGCCCCTGGGGCGGCCCCGCCTCGTGGTGGTGCCGTTTCTTGTGCTTTTTCTTGTGCTTCTTGTGTTTCTTCTTGTGGCCGCCATGGCCGCCCGCCTCGGCCTCCTGCCCTGTGAGGGGGAACACAGGGTCAGCGAGGGGTCCCTACGGGCTCTATCCCGCCGGGGAGCGATCCCGCAGCCCCCCCGGACCCTCCCCGGCCCCGCGCTCTCTCACCGTGCCCGCCGGCCTCCATCCCGCCGCGCCGCCAGGCCCTGCGCATCCGCCCGCGGGGGACCCAATTCGGGTCGGACCCACTTCCGCCCAAACTCGCTTCCGCCCGGTCTGGTTCCCGCCCGCTATACGGGGCGGGTGACTCTGCCGCCGCCATTTTTGATGTGGGCAAGTTGTGCGCCGTCCGGGGGGGAAACTGATGCCGCGGGTGCTTTTGGGCCGGGCGGGGCAGGTGTAAGGGCTCAGGTGAGGGCTCAGGTGAGAGCTCAGGTGAGAGCTCAGGTGAGCGCTGCGCAGTTATGGCTGAAAGCACGGTCCGAACACACCGCTGCGGCCTCAGGTGTGGCTGAAAGCACGGCCCGAACACACCGCTGCGGCCTCAGGTGCGAGCCGTGCGGGCCCGGGGCCTGCGCGCGGCGGAATCCCGGGCACACCGGGCAGGGCAGTGCCCGCAGCTCAGGGGGATCCGGAGCTCGGCCCCGGCCGGGTGAGGCACACCTGGAGCGCTGGGTGCAGGGCTGGGCCCCTCGGGAGCAGAGAGAGCTGCTGGAGCTGTCCAGAGGAGGCCATGGCGGTGCTTCGGGCTCTGGAGCGTTTCCCGGCCTGAGGGAGCCGGGTCTGGCGTGTGCAGGGGGAAACTGGGAGAGGAATTCATGGAGCCACATAAATATCCACAAAACCCCTCAAATATCCACACAAAATCTTCAAATACCCACGCAAATATTCAGCCAAATCTCCAGTCTCAGAGTGGATCCCATCCATCCGCACAAAAAACCACATCCAGCCCCAAAAATCACTCCTGGGGGTGCCAGGGTGGTGCCCGGGGCAGGACGAGGAGTTTTGACTTCATTAATCCACAGAAATATCCCAAAGATCCACAAAAAACCCTCAAATACCCACTCAAATAGCTCAAATATTCACACATACCCCTCAGATACTCACCCAAATGTACACAAACCCCTCAAATACCCATCTAAATATCCCAAATATCCACACAAAACCCTCAAATACCCACTCAAATATCTCAAATATTCACACATACCCCTCAGATACTCACCCAAATGTACACAAACCCCTCAAATACCCATCCAAATATCTCAAATATTCACCCAAAAATCTCTCATCTGAGTGTGGATCCCATCCATCCATACAAAAAACCACATCCAGCCCCAAAAATCACTCCTAGGGTGGTGCCCAGGGCAGCATGAGGAGTTTTGACTTCATCAAAGTCAAATCCTCAGAAATATCCCAAATATCCATACAAACCCCTCAAACATCCACCCAAATATCTCAAATATTCACCCAAATCTCCCATCTGAGAGTGGATCCCATCCATCCACACAAAAAAAAAAAAACAAAAACCCCTCCAGCCCCAAAAAATCTCTCCAGTGCCAGGGGTGCCAGGATGGTGCCCAGGGCAGGACGAGGAGTTTTGACTTCATTAATCCACAGAAATATCCCAAAGATCCACAAAAAACTCTTAAATACCCATCCAAATATCCCAAATATCCACACAAAACCCTCAAATACCCATCCAAATATCTCAAATATTCACCCAAAAATCTTGAATCTGAGTGTGGATCCCATCCATCCACACAAAAACCACATCCAGCTCCAAAAAATCTCTCCCTGGGGTGCCGGGATGGTGCTCAGGGCAGGATGAGGAGTTTTGACTCCATCAATCCACCTAAATATCCCAAATATTCACAAAAACCCCTCAAATACCCATCCAAATATCTCGAATATTCCCCCAAATCTCTCATCTGAGTGTGGATCCCATCCATCCACACAAAAACCACATCCAGCTCCAAAAAATCTCTCCAGTGCCAGGGGTGCCAGGATGGTGCCCAGGGCAGGACGAGGAGTTTTGACTTCATCAATTCATAGAAGTATCCCAAATATCCACACAAACCCCTCAAATACCCATCCAAATATCTCGAATATTCACCCAAAAATCTCGAATCTGAGTGTGGATCCCATCCATCCACACAAAAACCCCATCCAGCCCCAAAATTCTCTCCCTGGGGTGCCAGGATGGTGCCCAGGGCAGGACGAGGAGATTTGACTTCATCAATCCACCCAAATATCCCAAATATCCCCACAAACCCCCAAAATACCTACCCAAATATCCCAAATCTCCACAAAAACCCCCCAGATACCCACCCAAATATTCACCCAAAAATCTCGAATCTGAGTGTGGATCCATCCATCCACACAAAAAAACTTCATCCAGCCCCAAAAAAATCTCTCCAGTGTCAGTGCCAGGGGTGCCAGGATGGTGCCCAGGGAAGGATGAGGAGTTTTGACTTCATCAATCCACACAAATATCCCAAATATCATCAAAAAACTCTAAATACGCACCTGAATATCCCAAATATCCACAAAAAAATTCTCAAATACCCACCCAAATATCTCGAATATTCACCCAAATCTCTCATCTGAGTGTGGATCCCATCCATCCACACAAAAACCACATCCAGCTCCAAAAAATCTCTCCCTGGGGTGCCGGGATGGTGCTCAGGGCAGGATGAGGAGTTTTGACTTCATCAATCCACAAAAATATCCCAAATATCCTCAAAAACTCCTCAGATACTCACCCAAATATCCCAAATATTCACAAAAATCCCTAAAATACCCACCGAAATATCCCAAATATTCACAAAAAACCCTAAAATAGTCACCCAAATATCCCAAATATCCACACAAACCCCTCAGATACTCACCTAAATATCCCAAATATTCACAAAACCCCCTAAAATACCCACCCAAATATCCCAAATATCCACACAAACCCCTCAGATACTCACCTAAATATCCCAAATATTCACAAAAACCCCTCAAATACCCACCCCAATATCCCAAATATCACAAAAACCCCTAAAATACCCATCCTAAATATCCCAAATATCCACACAAACCCCTCAGATACTCACCTAAATATCCCAAATATTCACAAAACCCCCTAAAATACTCACCCAAATATCCCAAATATCCACACAAACCCCTCAGATACTCACCTAAATATCCCAAATATTCACAAAATACCCACCCAAATATCCCAAATATTCACAAAGACCCCTAAAATACCCACCCAAATATCCCAAATATCCCCAAATCCCCCTTAAATACCCACCCAAATATCTCGCCTATTCACCCAGATCTCCCATCTGAGTGGATCCTTCCATCCACACACGGAATGCCCATCCCACGGCGGGACCAGCCCCGGGCCGTGTCACCCGGCCGTGTGTCACCTCTGCAGGTGGCACCGCGACACCTCCAGAGAGCTCTCCCCACCCTCCCGCTGCCGGGATTTTGGGATTCCCTGCGGGGCCAGGCGTGTGACAGCCCCGGTGTCGCGCACGCGGCGATGTCACCCGCGCACAGATGTCACCCGGACCCCCCCGGGCCATTGTCCCGCCCGTGCCAGGAGCCGCCGGCACCGATCGCCGCCCCCGCCGCCCCTCCCGCCATCCCGGGGCTGAGCGGGGACCGGAGAGGCGACCCCGGCATCTCCCCGCGGCTCCGTCCCGGTGTTCCCACCTGGCCAGGGGGCTCCGGACACCGGGACTCCCTCCCGGAGCACCGGGACCCCCAGAACCGCCGGGAAGCTCCGGGAAGGCTCCGGAGTACCGGGAACACCGCGACCACCCGTAAATCTCCGGCTCACGGGGACTCCGGGACCACCCGGGACCCCTCGGAAGGCTCCGGGATCCCCCAGGACCCCCGGGACTCTCCAGAAACCTCTGCACCCCGGAGCCACCGGGACCCCCGGGGATGTTCCGGCGGGACGAGCGGAGCCGCGCCACGGTGGCGCGGGGGTCAGCGCTGGACATGGAACTGCGCCGGGGCCGCTGCTGCCCCCCGGCACCGGCCCCGCAGGTACGGGAGCACCGGGAGCCTCGGGAACACCGGGAGCACCGGGAGCAGCGGGAGCCCCGGGAGCAGCGGGAGCCCCGGGAACACCGGGAGCCCCGGGAACACCGGGAGCACCGGGAGCAGCGGGAGCCCCGGGAGCAGCCCGGGCACGAAGCCACGGGGGCGGTCACGGCCGCTCCCTGCCCCCCGGGCCCCCCCAGCCCGGCCCGGCCCGTCCGGTCCCGCTGCCCCGGCCCAGCCGGGAATTCCGGTGGGATCCGGTACAGCGGGAAGCGCCCGCGCCCCCGGCAGCCGACGGGGAGGGGGGAACTGGAAGGACCGGGAGGGACCGGGGGGGGTCGGGGAGGGGACGGGAGGATTGGGGCGTCCCGTGCTTGGCGGTGCCGGTACCGGGCCCGTGGCACACGGGGAATTTGGGGGGGTCCCGGTGGGTCTGGGGGGTCCCGGTTCACACGGTGCACCCACACTCGGGGGTCGCGGTGCATACTGGGGGGGTCTCAGTGAATTTTGAGGGGGGGTCGGTGCAGCCTGGGGTGGACCCGGCGCATTTTGAGGGCTCCTGGTGCGTTTGGGGGGTCCCGGTGACTACGGGGGGGTCCCGGTCTTTCAGCACCAACGGCACTCGGCAGCTCCGGGTTCGCTCGGGGGGCTCCCCCCTTCGTTCGGGGGGCTCCCGGTTCTCTCGGGGGTGTCTGGGCGCGCTCCGAGGGCTCTCGGTGCACTTGGGGATGGTCCCGGGGCATTCCAGGGCATCCCGGTGCTCTCTGGGGAGCTCCCGGTGCATCCCGAGGAATCCCGGTTCACTCGGGGGGGGGTTAGTGCCCGCGGGTGGGGTCCCATTCCCCGGTACCGGCTCCTCACGGGGGCTCCGGTTGGCTCGGGGCGGTCCCGGTGCCCCCGGGGAGGGGGGGGGGGCCGGCCCCCCCCAGAA